GATAATCAAGTTGAAATTCTTATAATCAATATATTATATTTTTTATATTTTTTATTATCTGTTTGTGTTAGTTAATATATTATATTATTAAAGATTTATTTCAATTATATTTTGAAATACTACAATTGATTAATTTTTAAGATGTCTTTTTTGATCATTCATTCTTATCAGTTATTTTAGCCAAACATGATTTGTTCATCAGTTAGCTTATCAGCTACCAATTAACTTATAAGTTACCATGTAGCTTATATGTAATCAACTACCTTATCAACTAGTTTGCTAAATAAAGCTTGAAGGGTTGTTTGATTCAGGGAGGGGAATAAAAATGAAAATAAAAATAAAAATGACAGGTAATGAAAATGGAAATAGATTTTTTTTCCCATCAATTTAACTTGAAATGATAATTTCGGCTTCTGAGATGTAAACCTATTATAGTATACTAGAAGGGTACTCGAACAATGTAGTGATATACATCTTAATTTTGTTGTTTCCTTTTATTATTTGCCTATTGATTATAATACAGTTTTATATGATTTTGAAAAAGTGATAATGTTTTTATTTTTGAATAAAATATAAATTTGAAAATATTGTAATTAAAATTTTGAAAAAAAAATCTTGATATTAGTATCAACTATTTAAAAGTTCTCATTTTTTGTGTAATTTCTTTAATTTAACTTTTTTATTAATGAATTTATTTATTTTTGTTTAATAATATAATCTTTTATAAATATAATAATTAAGTATTCTATTGATTTAATAACGAATCAATTTATTTTTATTTTAATAATATAATTTTTTATAACGATAATAATTAAGTATTCTATTATAACTCAACGATTATTCTAATTATATTTTAATTTTTTTATTTAAAATGTGATGTTTATCATGTATATGGTTATTTTATCTGCAGTTAGTTACACGAACTCAAAAATAAATGTTTAACAAGTTGTACTTATGACTAATTTACTTGTAATTCTGAATTTTAAGTAATATACATCAATAAACAATACTTCATGTATAAAAATGATTTTTAAGAATTTTTATCAAATATTTTATAATATAGTATAGATAAAATCAAACAATTTTCTTTTATATTTAATTCCATTAATAACTATTTAATACCTCTAATAAGTATACTCTTAAAGTTTTTTTTATATTGGAAAACAATATATAATATTTATTGAAATAAAATAAAATAAAATTCAATTTTTGTTTATTTTAAAGAATTTGATAAGTAACGAAGCTAAAGACAAATTATTGGTGGGGTACAACTTCTTGCAATACCATGTTCCACAAAGAAACCATTAAACATAAAAAATAAAAATTAATCATAGTATATTTTCAACTGAAAAATCAATTTTATATTATAAAAATAATATAAGAAGATTGAGGTGGCGCTCTAATCCCGAGAGCGTGAGCTCTGTGTCAGAGAGCGCTTGCTCTCTATCCGGGTACACGAGCTTTGTGTTCAAGTACGCGAACTTTGTATCCGAGCTCTGGTCGCCCAGAGAACCTTTTAGTCGTCCAGAGAGCCTCTATATGCTCTTCCACACTTGGTTATTTTAGCACAGCAGAATTCCGAATCTTCCATCCTTAGCCCCGATTGCTTAATAAAACTTTTAGAGTAATTAGGATCATATTTTGGTCCTAACAATCTTTCCCAAAGTTTTATAAAGCAAACATCTTCATGAAGCCATTTGATGTGTAATAACAATATTTTTGATAATTGAATGAATTTGGTATTTTAAATTTATAGGTAGGTTTAATTTGGTATTTTTGAATTTATGGGTAGGTTTTGTATAAATAACTTAATGAGTTTAACGAGACTTACAACTTATTCGATCGGTTATACTATATTTAGTAGTGGTTAATGATATAGAAAGTGCGGTTTATTTAGTAAACTTTTAGGAAGAGCTTTATGCAGAAAGCTACGTTTTTATTTCTAAACCCGCTCCTTTTAAAAAAAACATGATTCTTTCATCTATGAAAGAACCCTCCCAATCTATATAGAAATACTAATCCACGCAAATAGGTTTATCTATATAGGACTTAATAGAGACCTAACCAAACAACTCTTTAATGAATAAAATTAGACCTGACAAAGGCACGAAGTTGCTGAGGTTTTTTAGATAGACATGTAACTGAAGATGCATAAGGCCATGATTTTTTTCAGACTTAAGTCGGGCCTTTTCAACCCATTTTCCAGTATACAAAGAAAAGTCTTGGCTTTTTCAGAACTAGAGATGGCCAAAAATAGGTACCCGGCTGGGCTCCAATTCTGTCCTGGTCTCAAAACACTATCCTCGACCAAGAACCCAAGGCACGGTTAAGTTATTTTATAACCGGTTATGAGAACCGGTCCAGGGCCAAGGCCCAAACCGGTTATATGTAATTTTTTTACATAATCTTTTTTTTTTGAAGTTCTTTTTAAAGAATACAAAAAGTGTTGTTATATATATAATACATTTGAAAATATGTAATTGCGTCAATCAAATACACTTAAAAATACGTTTTTTTTGCGAGAATGCGATATGAAGTTACGAATTATAACAGGAATTGTGAACGTTTATAAGTTGATATTTCCCCCATATACTATATGACTTATATATAGTGAATAGAAGGTAAATGGAACAAAAAAATGGTCAAAATGTGAAAAAAAAAACGGTCATATGGCCGTTGAGTGTCAGTAATAAAACGGTAGTATTTTTGAAAAATCAGGCCGGTCCCAGGCTAGGCCCATAACCGGTCCCACACCTTTTTTGACGAAAAGTGTAACCAACCCTAGACCGTCGGTCCCAAACCGGTCTGTTGTTCCATTTTAATCAATCTTCAATCTTCTTATACAAATCAATAGCAGAATCTAAGATATGAACATTCAAGATCTTGAGGGAGTAGAGAGAAATGGTCAAACTTCATAATCTGGTCAAACTCTATTATACGTAATCAGATTTAACAATGAAAGCTCTTACAAGATTTACACTAAACAAATCTATATATAGGGTCAAAGATTGAACCCTTCAAAGTCAAAAGTCAAACTACAAGAAAGTCAAACACGATGACTATTTTACAACAATTATAGACAATAGTAACTTTTGAAGTCGAATACTATTTAACACTGATTTTCAGTCCTAACACGATCCTAAACGGTCACAGATTGGACTGGTCCTGATCCTCTGCCGGTCGCAAGCCAGGTCGTGCCTATTTGGCTATCTCAATTTTGACCTATCCCGGCTTTAGGAAGGGCCCAATCCAATTTTTTCAAGCTCTATAAAACCGGTTCTGGGCCTGAGATTGGGCTTATTAGGCCCAGATTTTTTGGAGGGCGAGTATTTTTTTCATCTGTAAATGAAACTAGGAACAGACCTATGGCTATGAGCATAAACCACCACCGTGAAGTATGAACTCATGGCCAGACAAATCTTACCCCAACGCTCTCTCACTACCACTCTATCGGCCTTTCTTTATCGCCGGTCAATCTCCGCCGCCGCCGTCGATGAACCCCTAAATCCCACTGCCACTGTACCTCCTCCGTCACCACCACCACCACCACATATCTCCAATCTAAGAACCAGAACTCCACTAGAGAAACAATTCGAGACATGGCTGGGAAAGCTCAAACCTGGATTCACCTCATACGACGTGGATGAAGCTTTGCGTGCCCAAACGGACCCCGATCTCGCCTTTGATATCTTCCGTTGGACCGGCCAACAACGTGGCTACAAGCACACTAGCACCACGTACCTCACCATGATTCAAATAGCCGTCTCCGGTAAGCGTTACTTCCAGGCTGAAACCCTAGTGGAAGAAATAGTCGCCGGGGCATGCTCAGGTAGCGTACCTCTCTATAACTCGGTTATCAAATTCTGCTGTGGCCGTAAGTTTTTATTCAATCGCGCCTTCGATGTTTACAAGAAAATGATGAATGGTGAAGACACCAAACCAAATCTCGAGACGTATAAGCTTTTATTAGATTCGCTTCTTCGAAGATTCAATAACGTGAATGTTTGTTATGTGTATTTACGTGGGGTGAAATCCTTATCGAAACAAATGAAAGCCTCAGGGGTGATTCCTGATACATTTGCGTCAAATATGATCATCAAAGCACACGCCAAATGTCACGAACTTGATCAATCAATTAGGGTTTTCCGTGAAATGGGGTTATATGGAAATGAACCTAACGCTTACACATATTGTTATCTGATTCATGGGCTGTGTGAAAAGGGTAGAGTGGGTGAGGGTTTAGGGTTTTATAAGGAAATGAGAGGAAAGAGCTTGGTGCCAAAAGGGAGCACTTACATGATTCTGATTTGTAGTCTTGCAATGGAACAGTTGTTCAAAGATTCAATTAAAGTCATCTTTGATATGCTGAATGATTCTATGCAACCTGATATGTTGACATATAAGACTCTTCTTGAAGGATTGTGTAGGGAAGGTAGGGTTGATGATGCTTTCGATATTCTTGAAGAATTCAGGAAGAAAGATAGTTTTATGAACGAGAAGACTTACAAGAATTTGCTTAATGGGTTACATTATGTGAGCTGCAAGTAGCTTTTGTACCTCTGTTTCAAGAACTGGAAGTCTAAAGGAGTTCCATACTTGGCTGGATTCCTATCATAGAATACAAATGCAAGGAGCCTATCAAACCCCATATGTACTATGACAATTTGGTAACTACTAGTATATCTATCTCCATTGACTCGTATAGTCAGCTACCGAATCTGTCAAAATGTTCTTTGTTAAATCTTTTTTTTGGTAACCGTGGGTGTCTAGGCTGGCTTGCCTATACCTTAGACTAATCCCATGGGGCTCTGAAGATAATAGCCAGGAAAATCTCTAGTTGCCTAGAGGGACTTGAATTGGCGAACTATGGAGAGGATCCCCAGGGCCTAGCCTTTTGTTTGCCAATTGTGCTGGCCCTCGTAGTACACGGCAGTGGAAAGTTGGGGCAAATGGCTGAAACCACTTATACACAATGTTGATGGTAATGGGATTCTTGTGGTGTTGTCTCTGAAGGATTTTTCTTTCTTTAGGTTGGAACAATGTTCTCCCTTGATGGAGTGTAATATTTGTTTTGCAATTTACAGAAGTGGAAAGGCACTTGATCCCTTGACATGCTTGTTGATCAATCTGAATATGCAATTATAAATGGTCATGTAACAGATGCTTGAAGGTTCCCTTGTTTAGTCCGAGTTGTATGGCTTTATCTGTTTCTGAGAATCTGATTTCGAGTTCGACTTTCTCCATCTCCACCAATTTTTTATCAAGTTAGGTTTTTCAGATAATTTGGAATCACCTTTGGATCTGTCTGTTGTGTTTTCACCAATATTTTTCGAAAATCCTGTTGAAATGGTTCTTCTTATGACCTGGATTTGTTGGGCAGATATGATGAATAAGGTATGTAACTTTGCAAACATTTCCATTTCAGATTTTATGTCTTAGTTGTTTTTGATTTCTAGATTGTTGATTAGCAGTGGAAGTTGGGAAGATGGGTTTGTCAAGGCAGGTCATTGTTTTGAATGGTGGAATGTCATTTTTCGTTTTTGGGTTCTGCTCCTCCTCCTTCCATGCCTGCCTTATGTGTGTTGCATTCAACAATTTCAGTTCTTCAATTGGCAAGGTCTGTTTACAATCTTCTAGGTTTGCATTTAGGTTAAAGAATGCTTGATCTGATTTTAGTTTTTTGTTACCGCAAAACATTTGCAAAAAGAAAGAAATAGAGGATTTTATAGTAGATAATGTTGGCTTTTATGTATATATCTATAATTCAGGGGCCTTTCTTGTATTTTGTCCATAGTTATTAGGTTAGATCTTTTCTTCTTTCTTTGTACGCAGGATTAATTAGATTATTCAAATCAACATACAAGGAATTCAATTCTTCAATATCATCTAATTCATCAATGATAATATGGTATTAGAGATTGGGTAAACTCATCCATTCATCTTCTCCATTTTTTGGTATTATCAATTGCTTGAATTTTATTTTATTTTATTTTTTTCATTGACTGGTTCTTGGTAATATCGGTTTTGTAAATCCACGTTTATCAAATTAGTTGCCTACATTGTTGAATCAACCTATGTTCTCCTAAACCTCGTAAGTTTGAATCTCCCCAAAGACCAAAACCCTCTTCTGTGTGATTCTCAATTTTGAACAAATTTGAAATCTGAGAAGTCCTCTTTGTCAGGTCGAACGTTTACTTCCATTTCATGCAATTCGAATCTTAGAATCTGTTTGTTTTGAAGAGGAATTTGATTCATCCAATATTTCTCGCTTGACCTATGTTGAAACAACTAGTGCTCTCGGTGTTGCTTTGCCTTTGAAATCTACTCTTCAAGATCAATCTTTTAGCAACATGTCTAACTCTTAGTTTAGCGACCAAATCACCATACACCAGAATCCTAATCCATTATATGGTTCAAGAGCTCCTAACAAAAAGAGTTCTCAAGTGCAAACATCATCAAAATGACCAAGCCATCAATTTCTGCATTGAGAAGGCTGTAAGTTCAGATATCGCCAGTATGAACAAGGTTGCTTACATCCCAAAACAGGTTTTAGCTAACTTATCTCTATTACTCAGTTGTCTGATACGGGACTCAATGTTGTATTTTCTCCATCTAGTTGTTGTGTACAGGATCCTAGGACGAAGCAGACAATTGGCATAGGTCGAAAAACAGGCAGATTGTACGAGTTGGTTTACCTTCACATTCTAGAAACCATCAAACCCAAACATCTTCTATCATTTGCAATTTCAACAAATATCAAACTCTCTCTACCCTGCCTAAAAGCGACACTTTTGAACCGTGGCATGCCAAGCTAGGCCACATCTTTATTGACCGTCTTAAACTACTTGTCACCTTGGGTATCTTGCTCCATGCCAATTCCAAACAACTATCTTGTGTACTGTGTCAACTCGGAAAACAATCAAGCCTACCCTTTCCTTATAGTTATTCATTTAGTTATGCCCCTTTCGATCTTATTCACTATGATGTATAGGGTCCCTTCCTTACACCACCATGGGTGAATCTCAATACTTTGTCGTCTTTCTAGATGACCACAGTCGTTTCACTTGTCTCTATCTCATGAAAAATTGTACTGAACTCCCACAAATCTATATTAACTTTGCCAAAATAGTTCAAACTCAATTCTCTCGCCCTATCAAAGTCTTATCTGTTGATAATGCAATGAAGACAAATAATACTCTTTCCTCGAGTTCCTTAGCCAACAAGGCACTCTTTCTCAATACTCTTGCCCAGGTACATCTCAATAGAATGGACGTAAACAACGACATATTGTAGATACAGTTTGTGCCTTCTTAATCTCTGCCAAGTGTCTTGGAGAATTTTACGGTGAGGCATTCCTCTCAGCTATATATATTATCAATCGCCAACCTCCTCCACTTCTCCAAAATAAATCCCCTTATGAAACGTTGCATGGTATCTCATATGTTTACGATATGCTAAAAGGTTGGGGATGCGTGTGCTTTGTTCTACTCCAGCCTCATGAGCGTACCAAACTTGAACCTCGTTCTCGTCTCTGTTGCTTCCTTGGTTATGTTATTGAACACAAAGGATATCGATGTTGGATCCTGTCTCTCAAAGGCTTCATGTATCTCGTCATCTTACATTTTGGGAAGATCATATCATTTCTTCTATTTCAAATTTAAAGTTCAATCTGATTTCGTTCTTCATGGACATCTCTATTCCCTTATCCATTGATTCATCATCGGTTCCTAACCATCCACCTTAGATGAGACCATTTCTCACTCTTTTGACCACTCACCCCAACCGAATCATCAGAGTTACCTTCTGATCAGTCTGTAAGTCCTAATGATCCCCACTCCACCTCCTTCAGACACTCGTCATTCTCACCGGGTAAGGCAAGTACCTAGTCGCCTTCCTTATTATCACTGTTATTCCACTTTATTTACATGTCACACACCAACTTCCTATAAGGAAGCTTCTACTAATCTTCTTTGGCAGAAAGCTATGATAGAAGAATTGCAGGCTCTCGACAAAGCTCGTACGTGGGAGATTGTTTCACATCCTATATATAAAGGAATCATTGGTTCAAAACGGGTTTACGATTTCAAAACCAAATCAAAGGCATCCATTGATCGTTGCAGATCCCGACTAGCCCCCACGGGTTGCACTCAAGAGTACAAGATTGATCATAAGTAGACCTTTGCGCCCGTGGCATGGAACATTTATGTTTGCAATCTTATTACCATTGCTTCTTCTCGCAAATGGCCACTTTATCAGATGGATATAAAGAATGCTTTTTTGAATGGATAACTCTATGAAAAGGTGTATATGAAGCCTCCGCCCGGGGTTTCTTATCCCTTTAATCATGTATGTCGCCACCGTAAGGCTCTCTATGGACTTAAACAAGCACCTCAAGCATGGTTTGAAAAGTTCAGCACTATCATATGCTCATTGGGATTGGGATTTACTGGTAACCGATATGATTTTGGTCTCTTCACAAAATCTACTAATGCAGGACCATTCTTCTTCTCTTATATGTTGATGATATAATCATTAAGGGAAGTGATGCACAAGGCATTAATGATTTGAAAGTCTTTGTATGAGCATTTTGAGATGAAAGATTTGGACTACTTCAATACTTTCTTGGTCTCGAAGTCTTTACTCGGGATCCTGGTATCTACTTGTGTCAAGCCAAGTATGCCTCAAATTTTATCTCCTACACCGGTATCAATTATAGCAAGCTTTATTTACACCTCTCGAGCCTAATTGTGGCTCACTCCCCGTGATTGCTCTCCACTTCCAGATCCTACGCTTTGTCGCCAGTTAGTGGATCCTTAGTTATTTGACTGTCACACGACCTAATCTAGTCTTTGTTGTTCATATTGTTAGTCAATTCATGGTTGCTCCATGTAGTTCTCATTATGCCGATGTCTTGAAAATTCTTAGATACATCAAAGGGACCATGTTTCATGGCATACACTTTTCATCGTCATCATCCCTTGAACTTCATGCCTTTTCTGATGCTGATTGGGATGGTGATGTAACCGATCGTCGATCTACGACTAGTTATTGTTTCTTTCTCGGTGATTCTCTTATCTCTTGATGCAACAAGAAGCAATCTTTCACTGCTCAATCTAGTACTGAAGCTGAATATTGTGCTCTTATTGGCACTACACAAGAATTACAATCGTAGTGCCATCCACATTGCTCAGAATGGCATGTTTCACTAGCTCACTAAGCATATTGAGATACAACTACCATTTCACTCGTCAATATGTCTTACCCAACACTATTCGTCTTGTTTTTGTTTCTTCCACTAATCAAACTGCGGATGTCTTCACCAAAGCTCTTCTCCCTGGTCATTTCTCAGGCCAGGCCTTGTTCACAAACTCAAGTTCGTATCTTGTATTTTGTCCATAGTTAAATGATTAGATCTTCTCTTCTTTCTTTTACGATGACTTAATCAGATTCTTCAAATTAACATACGGAGAATTCAATTTCTTCAATATCATCTCATTTATCAATCCTAATAGATAAGATTCTCAATTATTTTCAATCTCTTTTGTCCAGTAACCCACATTATCAACTAATATAGTATAAGATCAACCTGTCAAAATGGGTAAAGATAATATGATATTTTTTTTACATTAAATAAGAAATTTTGAAACATTGATTGAGTTAGACTAAAGCCTTCAATTTAGGTAAGTGATGCAAATATATACAAATATCGAAACAATAGGCCTTTTTGAATAACTATCGTTACTGTTCCACCTCTGACAAATGTTTTTGTTTAAAACCAAATTAACCTATCAGGATCAATCAACATTTGATTTGCTTCTATATTGTACCGGTAGTGGTTGGTAACAATATAAGAATATTTTTAAACAAATATCATTGTATTTTTATCCAATACACCATCTTATACAGAAATATAACGGATGATCGACTGAAAGGATAAATAGGTTTTTTGAAATCGTCAAACGCGTATTTGACTAAACCCTAACCAGATCGCACCTCCATCGTTCCCCCCATTGTGTGCAGCTTCTTCTCCAACTAGCCCCTAAACCCCAACCATCAAGGGGAGGGACCTATTAAGCTCCAAGCGAGGTTTTGTGTACCTGTGCAACTTATGTAAGTAGAATTTTTTTGGGGCATGAAAGGTGCATCCGCTGAACTTTGAACAGAGCTTCGGGATATTACAAAATACAAGGAACATCAACCAAAAAACCGAAAAGAACTCGTTCGAAATCATCCAAAAAACCGAAAAATC